TTTTGGTCCCATGGAGCTTGGTTCTCACTTTTCCCACCATTGGCCTTGTGTTGATGTTGCTTTGTGTACATGTCCTTCATTTCTGATAGAAAAAGACACCGTGCCTCATTTATACAGATAAGTAGTGCTGTGGAATCACAGCTCACAGCAACCTCCAACTCCCGGGCTCAAGCGAGTCTCCTGCCTCAGCCTCCCAAGTAGTTGGGACCACAGGCGCCCGCCACAACGCCCGGCTATTTTTTGGTTGCAGCCATCATTATTGTTTTTGGCAGGCCTGGGCTGGATTCAAAACCACCACCTTAGGTGTATGTGGCTGGCGCCTTAGCCACTTGAGCCACAGGTGGCGAGCTCTGAAATTTCTTAAGGAAGAGATATAGATCAGCTTCCAGCAACCAGACTATTAACAACTCTGAATTTTGTTAATTCATTAGAAAATAATCATCCTATAATTTCCACAATCATGAAGCTGGTGGAAGGATTTTAACCTAATAAATAGAAACAAATACAAACTTAAGGATTAAACAAAAAATAAAAACAGCCTTAAATTCTCAAATTCTCTATATGGTTTCTCTATCCTCTGTAGGGATATATTGAAACATAAACGTTACTGAACTTAATTGTCAGGAACAGGTGACTTTTAAGAGGTTTTGACATTAGTCATTCACCTTTTAAGGCTTACCTGCCAGTTGGCATTTATGGGACTATGCCATTTGCATCTGTGTCTCTGGGCTTTTGAAAGACTTGTACGCCAAATTGTTTTGGAACAGTTGGATGAGAACTTCTTGTTTGTACAAGTGACTAAATGCCTCCATTTTCCAATCTCTGAAATGGGGATAATGATGAAACCACACTTGTAAAGTCTTTTTGAGCTCTGTAGATGAAAGGGCCCATGAAAGTATAAAGTATTGTTATTAAAATAATAGAATCTCTAATTAAAAGGAATAGGCTATTTAGACTTCCTTGTAAATTCACTAATCGGTGGTCGTTAAGATTATTTATTCTAATAGTTTTCTGAGATTTAGCTGATGCAGTTCATGTAGGAACATGTAGTGTTTAGCTGTTCTCACTCTCTCTCCAGTCCCAGGTAAGTATAGG